TTGATTGGATGTCGCTTGATTGGATGTCGCTTGATTGGATGTTGCTGATCGGATGTCGCAGAGTGATGCCGCCTGAAAAGTTCCATTTTTCACCTTCCTTCCCGTGGCCTCAGACGTCCTTTTGCTCCATTTGCTTTTATCCACGTCGCGTCAGAAGTTCCAAATATTTGCGCCACCTAATATTTAATCGCATGTTGTTGCCCCATACATTGATTGTGTATGTGGAGCTGCTGGAGCTGCTACGATAACCAATATACTACTGTATGGAACTAATATGGTTACCATATTTTCCGGACCGTAAGTTGCACTTTTTTTCCATCCTTTGGCTGGGTTTGCGACTTATACTCAGGTGCGACTTATATATTAAAATATGGAATTTCACACTCATTCATTATTTTCACACTGACTTGCCACTTGAGGGCAGTCTAGAATTGTGTACCAGGGTCTAATGTACATCTAAATTGGGACCAAATTTTAAGGGTGGAGCTGCTGAGTATTCTAAAGAAAGTTGTTCGTTGGGACCAAATTTTAAGGGTGGAGCTGACGGTTAACAGCTGAGTATTCTAAAGAAAGTTGTTCATTTATCCATCCGTCCATCCATTTTCATCCGCTTATCCGTTACCGGGTCGCGGGGGCAGCAGTCGCCTACCAAATCACAAGATTCGATCTTGCCCAGGAGGTGAACCCTGGGGTTCCACACCAATGACAGAGACATTGCCCCTGGGCCAAAGCGCCACGTTGTTCATTTATATTGATATAAATTTATTTTGATGAAACCATAAATAGATTGAGGACGACAAATCTATTTTTACAAGCAGAAGCAGCTTTTCCTACTTTAACTAGAATAGTTATGGAGTGTCAGGAGTCATCTGAATATATTGTTTTGTTTTTGTTTTTTCCCCCCAGAGTGTGAACTCCATCAGACGTCCAGTAAGTGCGACGTCTCCATTATAATTACTTCCTTGCACTGAAATTGGCTGAAAACATCACACACATGACTTTGTCTGTCCACTGCTATAGAGTCCCACAGGTGGAACATCTGGTCTCTGTTTCAAGAAGCTTAACATCACCACCTCGTCCTACAGAATCATTATTAATCGTCTGGAGCGAAAGGTGACGACCCCTTATAGTTAGGGCACTGTTTACTGTACGAGTCGCCCCTTTTGTGATTCTTAGACATTTATCTTCTTTCTGTTTGCAGGTGACCGTCAACTACAGACCTGTCAGTTTACCTTTCTCTCGTCACTTTCTTCATGTGGAGGACACGGGCAGCATGTACCTCATTCATACGTCCCATGGAATCGACATACAGTGGTATCACAGCACTGGAATCATGGTCCTGCAGTACAAGACACTTCATAATGGATTTGTGGCCACTCAAGGCTTGTGCGGTGAGTGTATGCGCAATTTATTCCGTACTTTTTTTTTTACTAATTTTCATTTATTAAAAGAGAATCCACTCCATATCCATTTACTTTCTTTATTTAAAGATACTTTGGCAATATTTCCAAATAATGTCAATCGGACTCTTATACTAACAGAATCAAGTCAATAGATGTTTTATTTTGAAAGTTTAATAATCCTTCAATGACCGGTGCGATGCTGGTGTCCTCAGTATAACGGCCAGTACTGGCCAACTGGTTCTTAGTACCGAGAAGATTGGGGAGACATACAATACATTTTCCGGACTACGACTGCGACTTATACTTAGGTGCAAGTTATATATTAGAATATAATTCAGATATTTGTTATTTTCACACAGCCACTAGAGGGCACTCTGGGCTCGTGTACTGTGTGTACAGCATCTGCTACTCCTGTACCACTGAAAATGTACATGTTCGTTATTTTCACACTGACAGTGTCAATTTGTTTATTTTATGTAGTGAATATGCAAAACCAATATATAATATATAAGATGCTTTAAATTAGATTTAAACGCTCACATTGATCACAGGAATATTTTGCAAAAAAAAAAAAAAGGTTTCACATTAGGGCCAAGCTTTAGTCTCTAAAAAATTATCTAAAAATCAGTAGTTGGCTGATATTGTCCAGACATTTCAGTAGTGTGACAAATTGCAAATAGCAATATGAGGCTATGGCCCCTTAGGTTCTATCAAGTGGAGGTACCTGCTCATTTGACTTTATTTAACAAAAATGCATGCATGCCCAACTACAATATATGAATATATGTGTCAGGCTGCTGTGATGGAAACCCAGAAGATGACTTGAAGCTCCCTAATGGCACTGTGATCAAAGACGTGGGGGACATGATGCTGTTTCTCCAGTCATGGAGTGTGTACACCACAGATGAAATTGAACACACACGCAAAGTTGGAGCCAACTGCACCACTGGGGATTGTTCCACGTGCCTGTCTATGCTGCACCAGAGAACCTTCAGTCCGTGTCACAGCAAGGTAACTGAACTAATCCGGGTCTGATCGAAGTAAATATATTTACTTAATGTATGTTTTTATTTAGTTATGTGGGAATTTGAGATTTTGGAGGTGGACAGGATTTATGACAGCATTTGAAATAAGCTGCTTAGATTGAGCAGTTGATACATAAAGATATGTACACATAGGTATGGCTAAGATGGTTTGGATATTTGTTTTATTTAAGAACGTAACCCTTTCATGCATGACGGTCACTCCTCTACAGAGGATTCTCAGGCGTCCACTGTAGAGGCTTATATGCAACACTGCCGTCAAAATCTATTCTTATCATAGAAAATGACATTTTAATAGCTGTCCACTGTAGTGACCGTCATGCATGAAAGGGTTAAAAGGCATAGTTGCAGAAAGGATTGATGACACTAAAGAAAGATATTACCAAAGAAGTGATATAACATTCAAGGTCACCTTTATGGGAATCAGATAAAAGAGAAAGGAAATGATTTTGTTTATAGATCATGTTTGTGGAGATATTTAGCTGCAGTTTGCTCTCACTTGCAGGTGTCTCCAGAACAGTTCTGTGACATTATGTGGGCCGGGGATCTGCATTACAAAGATCACCAGTGTGACTTTTTGGCAGCGTATGTGGCGGTCTGCTACACACATCAAATCTGCATCAACTGGAGACGTCACAATTTCTGCCGTAAGGAGAGACACGTTTGCAGAAAATCCTGAGGTGTCGGTGCAAACGCATCACTCATTTAAAAACTGTCTTCGTCCAGCACTGCAGTGTCCTCCAGGTAAGGAGTATCAGCCGTGTGTGAGCACCTGTGCTAGCCGCACATGTCTAAACAGGGAGTACTATGATGAGACCTCCTGCTCCTTCATAAGAGAGGAGTGCGTTTGCCGCAGCGGCACCATCCTACACCGTCCTGATTCCCCTTACTGTGTAACTGAAGATCGCTGTGGTGAGACAAAAAAAAAAAAAACAACCCATACATCTCTTTGTTGTGAGATTACGAATGTGACTGACAGTGCTTAACCCTTTCATGCATGACGGTCACTACAGTGGCCAGCTATTAAAATGTCATTTTCTATGATAAGAATAGGTTTTGATGGCAGTGTTGCATATAAGCCTCTACAGTGGATTCTCAGGCGTCCACTGTAGTGACCGTCATGCATGAAAGGGTTAAAATGTCAAAATGCCGAATTGTACATCGTATCATTTCTGAATCAAATTATCTGTGGATTTTGTAGTATGCACAGATAACGAGGGGAACCCCAGGGCTCCGGGTGAGGTTTGGAATGGCTCGTCTCGTGGTTGCTGCCTGTACAAATGTGCAGAGAACGGCTCTGTGGTGGCCGTTGAACCAGAATGCAACTCCTTCCCCACACCCCTGTGTGAGAGAGAGGGGGAGTATGTACTTGACGTGGTAGAAGAAGGAGCCTGCTGCCCCAAGAAAATATGTGGTGAGTGTACTATGCCAAGTACAGCATAGTACAATTTTGACATGATATGTACACTTACTATAAGTCGCAGTTTGTTTTTTTTTATCCTTTGGCTGGCTTTGCGACTTATACTGAGGTGTGACTTACGTTTATATCGAAATATACTTTCACATTTGTTATTTATTTTCACTGACAGCCACTAGAGGGCACTCTAGGCTTGGGTGCCAATTATTATTAAACCAAACAATCCTTATATTGCTGATCCTAAACTCAAAGGATAGTGATCTATGCATCAGATTTTTAGTCCCTTCATTATGAAAATACAATTAAAGGGGCTATATGCATTTTCTCCTTTGTCCAGACTGTATTCAAATCACACTAACTTGCTCCCTAAATGTCCAGTCTTTAGTAAAGGTCCCAAACTCAGATTTGTCTATTATATTTATAGTTCAATTTGGCCCAAACCCATATACTTCCATGGCACTTTGGCACTACTTTAAACTCAACAAAACTAAATGAATATTTGTTCAGATAAAAAAAAAGTAGGATTTCAAATGTAGACCTCTGCAGTAGCCGAGATCTGTTAGTGCACATACAATAAGGTCAATTATATTTTTATTCTGCTTTTTTTGACAGAGTGCAACATGACGGTCTGTGACCGTGAGGTGCCACCTTGTGAAAACGGCAACCGGCTTGTTATTGGTTACAGCACTCTCTCATGCTGCCCAGAGTACAGATGTGGTAAATACTTATAAACATTTATTTTACAGGTGGTTTTGTTTGTTTTTTTTATGTCCAGCTACAAAGACAAAAAGGATTGGTAGATGTCTAATAATACAAGGTTAAGTAAAACAGGTTAAGATACAACTACGCAATTGAATCTGCCATTTCAAAACTTCATTTAAAAGCATTCTTTTCTGGATTATAATTCACACTTTTTTTTTCATCCTTTCGGCTGGGTTTGCAACTTATATATTCAGGTGCGACTTATATTATTAAAATTTCACATTGTTTGGTACTTTCACACTGACAGCCACTAGAGGGCACTGTAGGCTTGTGTACCAGTATCTGCTACTCCTGTACCACTGACAATTTAGACAGTTGGTTGTTTTCACACTGCGATAAAGAGATTGTCTTTGTAATGTAGTCTTCCTTTTGCTTCTTTTTAGAGTGCGACCCAATGGCATGCCCCCCCATCTCTCCACCCCACTGCAGGCAAGATCAGTTCCTAGTGGAAGTCAGGGGGCACAAATCATGCTGCTATTCTTACCTATGTGGTAGGTTTTTTTTTACCGTTTACTTTTGCTGAATATTTTTCACCAATAAAACCTTACAGATGTTAAATAATTTCACATTTTTTTTGTCCGAACAGTGTGTGAGTCATGTACCGAGCCCATTCCCTCTTGCTCTCATGGAGAAATTCTCTCAGTGGATCTGAACACCACCAACAGCTGCTGTCCACAGTACTACTGTGGTGTGTTTTTGTATTTGAAAAAGAAAAAAAAAAAACAACCCAAAACAAAACAACTCTACGGCTTTTCCCTTTTCTCTCTGTGTGTTCAAAGCCAAAGTTACAATGTTTTGCAGTGTGTGACGTCAACCTGTGTCCGGAATCATCTGTGAGCTGTGCAGCCGGACTGTCTCTGGTTCAAACCCATGTACCCGGACTCTGCTGTCCACAGTATCACTGCGGTACACACAAACAGACACTTATCAGTAAACTACCTTCAATTCTTGATGTTTTATTATTTTATATAATTTTTTTTTTGTTTTTTTTTTTACTGTCTTTGTAAAATCCAGAATGCAAGTGTGAGGATGACTCTCTCTCAAACTGTCCAGTGGTAAGAAGGCAAAAATCAACAATACAACGGCACTAACATAGTGTCATCTTTGTTACTCAGTAGTTAGATTCAATCAGTAGTTAAGTTAGGTTAACTGCTGAAGGCAAAATGACCTGAATGAATGAGAACCTTCTTAGACATAAGCGTTGCCTGTCGTCAAATTCCCTCAGGGTCAGACTTTTATTCAGCTGTTCCTGATAGGAATTTCAAGATTTAACAATATTAAATGAGATTTCATTTGTACATTAACCCTTTCATGCATGACGGTCACTACAGTGGACAGCTATTAAAATGTCATTTTCTAT